GCTTCTCTCTAATCCGGTTCCTCTTTTTATTTTTAGCCACCACTATCATTTCTGACAGTTATATACTATAGCAGTCAAAACGGGAGTGAAAACTAGCCGAATCACGATTTTACTGTGATATTGTGCGTTCAGTCAGATAAATTCCAGTGACATTTTTGTACACAATGGCACTTCTGAGAAAAACAGCCTTTGAGGTTTTACGAGAACTTACAACCATCGATGACAACGACTCTGGAGACGAGAACGATTATGATGTTGATGAGGACTCCATCTTCCATGAGTCAGCAGATCACAGCATATCTGATAGTCAAACGTCTGATGATTACACTCCATATGAGGACCCTAGAGAGAGTGTATCAACCAATTCGGTATCTCCCGGTGAGCTTCACGTATCGAAAGATGGTAGCACGTGGATCGCAGTGGAGTTCGAAACATCTACTGTTGGTAGGATTCCATCACAGAATATGTTTAAGGCTAGACCAGGACCAACTCCCTATGCTAAGAAATGTGTGAAATATGGTGAGCTGTCGAGCACTTTTGACATCATAATCACGCCCCAGATGCTGAAACATATTCAAATATGTACTGGAGCTGAGGCCAAGAGAGTTCTAAGTGTCAGTTGTCAGTGGAGCGTAAGTCTTCCAGAGCTGCGTGCCTTTATTGGTCTAGTTTACATCAGAGGCTTCATGGGTCTGAAGAACATGCCGTTGAATATGATGTGGTGCGATAGATATGGACTGCCTATTTTCAGGGAGACAACTGGCAAGAACAGCTTCAAAGAAATAATGAGGTTCCTCCGTTTTGACATGTGTACTACCCGATGTGAAAGACTGCTAACTGATAAGTTTGCTTTGGTTTCTGAATTGTGGAATGCATTCATTCGCAACTCTCAACAATGCTATGTGCCTGCGCAGAATCTCACAGTTGATGAGCAATTGTTTCCCTCCAAAACCCGTTGTCGTTTTCTCCAGTACATGCCCAACAAACCAGATAAGTTCGGTATCAAGTTTTGGATGCTGGCAGAAGTAGATAGCAAGTATCTCGTTAATTGATTTCCATATCTCGGGAAGGACGAAACTCGGTCAAGAGGAGAAAGTCTTGCAGAGAGCGTGGTATTGCGCTTGGTGTCACCCTTATTTGGAAAGGGGTACAATGTCACATGTGACAATTTCTTTACATCGGCAGCATTAGGAGAAATGCTGGCCAACAAAAACACAAGTATGGTGGGAACACTTCGAGCTAATAGAAAGGAAGTACCATCGATTTTGAAGCAAAGAAATAGAGTGCTGTTCTGTTCACTTATTATGAGGAATGAAAATAAGCACACATTAACATCCTACTAGTGTAGAAGGAATAAGTGTGTTTTGGTTTTCAGTTCCCTGCATAGTAACTCTTCCGTTCAAGACTGGAAAGAAGAAACCCGAGACTGTGTTGTTTTACAACTCCACAAAGTATGGTGTAGATGTACTCGACCAAATGACAAGAGCACTCACTGTTAAGTCATCATCTCGAAGATGGCCAGTCCAAGTCTTTTTCAACGTACTGGATTTGGCTCTCATAAATTCCTGGATAATTTATAACAGTGTTTGCGGAACTAAAATATCTCGCCGGTCGTATCTGGTGGGTCTTTCGGAAGAACTGCTTACATGTGTACATCACACAAGGTACGTGACAACGGAAACTACGACGAACAACTCAGCAGAGTCGGGGAGTCGTGTGAACATTAAACCTCGGCAGTGTCATTGGTTGCTGTAAAGGTAACAAATCACAAAACAAGTGCTCTGTTTGTGAAAAAATAGTTTGCGGCTCATGTGGACAGATTGAGCTAGTTATCACTTGTTTCAAGTGCAAATTGGAGTAGGTATACGGAATTGTTTACAATTTTTGAAAAAAACTAAACCTTAATACAATCATTTTTCTGTTACAGGTATGTTCTGTACATCAGTTTTTTAATAAATGACGTGAAAAATTTCTTAACTGAAAGTTGGGATAAAAAATATAGTAATGCGGTCATTTTGACCGGTCCCGGGCGTTCTAGGTATAACGGCGGAGCGGTCTTTCTAGTGTTAATCGCTAGTCAGTGATTTACCGGGATTATTCAGCTTACACGGACGAGCCAACGTGTGGATACTTGCAACAAAAGTTGTTGGGTCTTGAACACCGAATTTCCACACTGCATTCTAAAGCGAGGAAGGGTTGTAGAGTACTTGAACTCCAAGGATAATTGTTGATCACTACACCCAGTTGTTCAATCCAATGTACGAACGAGTGTGGAATATTGTAAGCAGCATCAATCTATAGATTAGATGTGGAGCCATTCAAAACAATATAAATTTAACTAGTAACAGCACTATGTACAACGACGTCAAAAAGTACTGAGTAATCAAATAATAAATTTTTTTGGTCCTGTTCCACATGCCATTTGTTCAATTCCTTTTGTCATTTTCAAGGAGCTCACGGAGACTTGCGCGTATTGTTTTCATTGCAACCGGTGTTGTGCCATTGTTTCGAGTGTTTTAACCCATCGACGTTCATTTTTCTGTCCCCAACACAGAAGGCGTACCGGACCAGTAACTGATAGACAGGGTGTAAGCAATTTGATGCTTTGTCGCCACCACGCGGCCCCTTTCAGTCCAGCGCTGCATGCACAAATAGACTGCTGCGTGGAAATCGCTCGTCAGACATGCGCAAGACGTGGCGAGGCCATCACAATTGGTGCAACAGAGCAAGCTCATAGAGCGGGAGACCCGCTTTGTCGAAGATGTGTTGTCTGATAACATCATTGCGCACCATATACCGGCCATCCTCCGCAGACAGCCGTTGTCAAAGGCCGAAAGCCTACGCATGTTGTCCACTCGGATCGGCCGGGACTCATTCCCATACAAAAGTACCACACGAACACAGGCATTGTAAACCTCGCCTTATAGCAAAAGGGAGATGTCGCGACGACGGCACAGGTGTCTCAAACTGGCAAAGGCCGAGTGTTTCCGTTGACGAGCTGAAGGACAGCATTTTGCCAATCCTTTGCCAACACTTTACACTTTGAGTGGTAAAGCACACCATACTTAGTGGCTTCAGTCGCCAGTCGGTCAAGAACCAGTTGCATGCAGTGAAGGTCGTCACCGAGCAAGGCGATGTCATCAGCTTACTCGAAGTCGGTTGCCTAAATACCTGTAAGGAGCTCCAGAAATCTGAAAGCGCTCTACAGCTCCCTACAGGACATCTTTGATTGCGAAGTTGAAAAAGAATAGAGACATAGGGCATCCTTGTCGCACACTACTGGCGATAGGATAGACAGCGGAGAGCTTGCCGTAGGCTCTTACTCTGCATGAAATAGGGAGGTATATCGTCAGAGGAATAACGACGTACTTTTCCGGAATTCCGTTCTGTAGTAGGCAATGCCATAAGGCACCTTGGGCGGTCGGTCGGTCTGTCGAATCGAATGTATCCCGAATGTTCAGGAAGACGTCGATGGTGATTCTACGGTGCACGCGGCGATAAACAAGGGTCTAACAAAGCGTGAATATATGGTCCACCCAACTGCCGGAAAGACGAGGAACACGTTTGACTGGGTACACTTACTGATATCGCTAGGAGCCGACCCCAATGGCATTCAGGCTGTGAGTTTCTGTGTCCTACCCCATTCCTCTCAGCCTCTCCCTCCAACGACTATGTCACTGCTTAGTCTTATATAATTTTGCATTATGAATTTTGTTCTGCATATTAGCCGGCTGATAGCTTACCGGAACAATGCCCATCCATTACCGGTAGCTCAGCTGGCTTGCATCTGTTGCATTTTCCTTTTTTTCTTTTATGTATTGCGGCACAGTAGCTGAGATGTTTCCCACCTCTAGCTAACGTGTACAATGAATGAATGAATGAAGTTCCACCTGGACGAAAGTCAGCCTGCTTCTCCCGATAGTGCGCCTCTCGAGTTGGGGATGGCCTGTGCAACATGATGGAAACCAGCACCTTGGAAGCACTGATATCCTAGTGTTTCCTTTGTGATTGGCACATGAAGTTCGGGAGCCTTTCTTGAAGACTAGGACAATGACTGACTCTCCCCTTGAAGGAGAGACCCTTTTTTCTCTAGATCTTCAGAAATAGGGATGTTAGTTGACTAACGATTTCCCTACCACCATATTTGAACACTTCCGGAGGAAGCTCGTCTAAACCAGCAAGCTTACATCACTTCGTGTATCTAATCTCAAGGCGAACGTCGGCCTTATTGGGTGGTTCGAGTGACACGGCCCATAGCGTACTATGGGGCGAGCTGAGTGCGAAAATGGACGACGAGGAAGAACTGAACTGAGTTTGGAAATGCTCAGCTCATCTGTTCATGCGCCACTGCAAGTTAGTGATTTGTGACCCTTCCACCTAGCTGACGACAGACATTTTGTGACGAGTGGTCCGAATGAGCTGAAATAACCTGTGGGTATTTCCAGAGAGGGTGGTGGTTTCCATCTCGAAGACGCGTTGAGACCACCAAACTTCACGATTACCATCAAGGCTTCGTTTAAGTTGACGGCTGATAGCGCGGCGAAGTTCATTCAGATCGCATAGTATAACTCGTTTTAATTATCCTTTGTACTATACTATTCCATTTATATTTCATTACAAAGGTTAAAGGGCTCCTCCCCTTAAGCTAACTCCTAAAATGGTGAGTGATAGTTTCCGCGTCGGATAGTCTTTAGTTTGTTCGCTTCTCTGGGAATGATCCGTCGATTTCAGTATGTGACATCATCGCATATTGGCTATCAGTACATTATCAGCTTTGTATGTCTAATTTGAAAGTTTATTGGATTGACCGTCGTAGTTTTCTTTTGACTCAAATGCCTATTTGATCACCTAATAGTTTGCGTACATGCATACTAAAGCGACACCAACTTCGATGGAGCTCGTTGTTGTATTAGTTGGTGACGCCATCTATGGAATTATCATTTAGATTAGGCGATCCAAGGGTGATTCTTGGTAAGAAACACGCCGTTTCTCTATTTCCAGACCGTGGCATCAGAAACCATCCTGTCCGTCTTGTACCACTTGTTTGTTCTTTCCCTAAACGCTTTTAACGGCACCATTTTTCCACTTTCCAGCATGCAAGATGGTGAGTGTTTTGTTACTTTTTTACTTGTATTACTTTAGGTTAGTCACCTGTCTGATGCTCAACTTCACGGTATTCGATCCTATTCTAACGCTTTTCAGATGTTCGAGATGCGTTTAACTTGATAAATCAAAATGCATTTGCCAGTTCTTTCTCAGACGTTCTGTTACCTCTGCGCTTTGTTGGTTGCACTGCTACATTAGATGATCTGAAATTACTGTATCCTGGTATGTGAGGAACATGTTCCCATTGAAATCAACACAACTTCCAGGAGACAAACTAGATTTTGCCACTTTTCTAGACTTATATTCTGAACAGTTGGGGAGCATTAATAACCAGCCTTCAATTGAGCCGACTGAGTTATCGCGTTTGTTAGCAAAACACTTCAACCGATCTGTCGATACAAACGATTGGCGACGTATATTGTCCAGTTTTGGTGACAGAATAGAAAGTCTGGACAGTAATTTACCTTTTTATCATACTGTCTTAAGATACAACCTTGTGTAAGCTGATAGGTAGCGCTTCTAGCGAGGCAAGTATTAGTGATTCGGTATCTGTTAAATCCTTCACGAATATATTTTCTACGCAGACTCGGTCAGTTATGGATTTTGCTCCGGAATGAGCTTTTGTCCTTGCAGTTAATGCTCACGAAAACACCGACCTACAGAAGCCGTCACTAATATTTTTCTTTTCAAAGCATAATGTGCTCACACATGTAAGCAAAGCATGCAATACAATTTTGAACATTCATATGCTGTTTTGGATTTCCTTTACTTGGGGCATATCGAACTGGGATACAAAATATACATTGCTTTTTATTTTAGCAGCCTAACGATGTATGCCGTATTCACCGGAGTATCTGGTCTCCATCATGGCCCGATTTCTGTCATCCTGCATCTCAGACTCGGCTCCGTAGTCGTAATTATGTCCAAATTGCCTGCATTCAGGAGCTCTGGGACAACATGTTTGTTTCCTTACTAATTAGTAGACGGATTTGGATATGCTTTTATTTAGCTCACCACAATTAGATTACAAGCCGCAGCGGTGAGCTACTCGTTTGAAAATGTACCAGATGGTCGTTTCGCCCTATTGAAGCTCGCCAGTAGTGCGCATTCCCTCGGTCCCTTGCTGGGGGTCGAACCCATGATTACCAGTGGCTTACACCACTAGTCACCAGCTTATACCACTGAGCCATGGGGGCGATAACCGACTATCACAGGTTAAAATCTAACTGCGATATGGCCGGACCCATCCTCCACTGCCATGCAAGTTATTGCACTTGCAGAGGACAGTTGTTGGCCGCCCGCGTCAGGACTTCCGTTGTCAGTGCCGTAAACACATAAAGCATCTTTAGAACTGAAGGGCTTAGTTTCGATTACTAATGAGTAAATAGATTTGGTTATGATTTTATCTGCTTCGTCGCAATTGCAATGAATCAAATAAAATATTTGTTTCCCTTTCATGTGGCTATACTTTCGCATGTCTTTTTTTAGCATGATCGCTCCCACTTATGGGGCCGTGTACCGTCCGTCGGTAAATATACAAATTTATTTATTTATTTATGTGTGTGCTCTGTAACTGTGTGACTAAATCTGTTGCGTGTAAGCGCTTCTTAGTGGTCCCCCATTCACGCCTCTCCAGGAACAGTTACATAGTCAAATAGATGGTCCAGTTTGATAAAACCAATACGCAGCAATCGGTAGTTTATTTATTTCTTTATCTTCCATTTCTTGCAATTTTTGTGCTCATACAGCGTTATTTAGCATGAGTTGTTATTTATCGGTTTTATTTACGAATTCATACATGTACTTTCAGGTTGAAAATTCCTTAACACTTCGCTATCTCTAGACTGCAGTGGTCATTTACAGTATGATCGCACCGACAAGATTCACAACCAATCACAATGCTAGTTTACAAACTTGACTAAGACCCGTTTAGGTGAAGAGTGGAGAAGTCTATGGAACCCGTCCTATTAGTATACGTGAAAACATAACAGTAGAACGAGCTTAATTTGTGCTACTAAACATTAACGTCGTTCTGCTTTTATCAGCTATAAGCTCCGGAAATGAGACAACTGTACCTAAAAGTCAAGCACAATACCTGAGGTGTTCTGCACCTGCAGCTAACGTGCATAATGATGCTGATGAGAAATAAAGCATAAATCAGGCCTCCAGAAACCGGTTTAACAAACGTTTTATGCTACTTTCCTTACATTTAATCCATTATGGCCTGATTAGCGACATAACAGTAAAATAGAAAATAAGTGGTGATTGAAAACTAGGACAAAAACTTATTGCATTTCTGCTGGCAGAACGGGCAACAGATACGAGTATTTCGAATTCCGGACCAACCATTTCCGAACTCAGAAGGTAAAGCTCGATAAAACCAGTGAGCCCCAAAGGATACGACGTTTTGTACGGTCAAGATGGCTCTGATTATGTAGTTTCTTAGTGCCGCTCCGTTCAGGACTATACCTTTTTACTGGCAAGTTCAGGCATAGTGCTAATAAGTTTCCTTGTTAAAAAAAATAAAACAACGTGTTATTCATTCAAGTTTACGTGCGCATCAATTCATTCTCTCTCTGAGGAGTTACATTCACGAACTATCAGTGACACTCATTGGTCGTGGGACGTTAGCCAGTTGGACTCCCTGGATGTAAGCACAGTGCTAGATGTATGCATCTATGGGGACAGGTATGCTCCCGAGTAGGTTGACACATTGGTGTTAACGGAAGGCAGACAGGGATGAGAGTGTCAGTGCTAGAGGTCACAAACAGTACACCTGACTGTAGCCGGTCGACCTAGGATGAGGTGTTTGAACGTTCTCCCTCAGCACCCCTTTAACAGAGCTTTTGTCAGAAAGAGTTACCGTTGGTTCGTATTCTGACTCTGCTGGTCGCCGGTGTCCATGTGCCAACTTTTCAGCCCTTGTCCGAGCAGTCCGGGACGTATCGAGCGCACAATATGTGATCTGTTCAAGGTGCACAGTACCAGTGGCACATTTAGGCTCCAGGTTAGTATTGCTTCTAGTCGAAACAATACACCGTATGAAGCTAATAATAATAATAATAATAATAATAATAATGGGCATATTTCTCATCAACTGAAAAGCTGTGCCGTTATTTGGTACAGAATATGCACACACGGGTGTTGTTATGCTCTTGCGAGAGCAACACCTAGTTATCTGCTTACATTTCTCTGCATTTCTGGCAATGTATTTGCCCCATTTGTTTGTCTTATGCGATAGTAGGAGGCAAATTTGCAGTTTATGTTGTAGACACTGAGGAATAATTACATTGTGTGAACTGGTGACATCACATCCATTAGACGTTATCTGAGCTTTCATTGAATGGATGTTCAAATAATCTACCCCACGAAAAAGCGACATAATGGTGTTAAGGTAGGGGTAGCTTCCCAACTTACTGCGAAGGGATTGCACAGTCTCACACAACCTGATGATGAATGGCAGCCGATTCCACAGAGAAGCATATATGGTGAGACGAAAGTTAAACCGCCAAATTTCTCTTGCCTCGTGGTATAGTCAGGGTAAGGTCTTTATTACCTAGGTCTCGCGTGTAAGTGTGCTTCAATGTTAAGGATGAATCGATTGCCATGGTATCACCATGAATCCGATTGCGCAGTAGTCTCAAGTTATCTTTTAGTCTTCGCAGCCAAAGCGGATTGATATGGAGTTGCTGGCATCGTTCCCGTGAGCTTATGTCAGAATATTTTCCCAATACGTGCTTAGTAAATGACCGTTGAAGGCTTTCTATCGATGTTCCGTCTGATTTCCTCATATTGCCTCAGAGTATGCTGCGATACTCCAGGATGGGACGATTAAGGATTTTAAATAGTTCAATTGTAGCTGTGATTGTATGTATGTTATGAGAGATGTTAGCGAAGGATTGTCTGGCCCGTGCTATCTGGTACTCAATCTGTTCTAAGAACATGAAGGTACAAGAATATCTGATTCCAAGATCACGGGTAGATCTTTGTACACAGATGCGTTCGCTGTTACGCGTGACAGATATTTCGGGTGTCAAATGACCGCGACATATGATACTTGACTGTTGTGCTAAAAACGTCATCATCCACATGTCGCACCAAGTCTCAAGCGCATGAATGTATTCTTGAATGAGTGGTAGTACATTCGGAAGCTCAACTCCTCGGTACGTGTGGACAAAATGTTATATCATCAACAAATAAAAACGGCACGCCATGGTTATTAACCAAACTGTTATCATTGACACAAACAAGGGAAATCAATGTACCGGGTGCACATCCTTGTTTAACCCCACTGGTAATTGGACGCGGGGAAGAGCAATAGTCGCCTAAGATGACTATTTTGGCGGGACCGGTCATGTATGATGATAGCCGACCCATTAATGTGTTCCGGACAACAAAAAAGCTATCTGAATCGGTAACCGTTTGAGGCACTCGATCGAATGTTTTCTGCATGTCCAAGCATAGAATTAGTATGGCATATTTTGAGTCAATGGAGTCTGGTATGTAGTTCAGGTAATGCAGCTACCAGAATGTGTACGATCCTTAGTCAAGGAAACCATTTTAGGACCTGTCTGTCAGCTTCAGTGAGCTGATGAAATTTCTAACACTTTTTGACCAATTTCCCGAATAATCCGGCTATTATAGGAGTGTTATGGCTCGGCCTGTAATTGTCAATCTCCTGTTTTGCGCAGCCCTTGTGACGAGGGCTGATAAATGAAGTTTTCCATTGATCTGCAAACTATTTTGAAACGGCAAACATATACAAAAGGTGCAGTAACATATCAGGCCATTCCGGTTTCATGGCGGATGGGGGGATGCCATCCGCTTCCAGAATTGAGCACGGTGGATTAGAATGTGTTACTTGATGGATGTTGCGGAGAGCAATAGCACTTTAGATGGAGCGTTAGTGTAAGTATAGCGTTAGCTTTAAGGTTCATGTAGGTAGAGAAGTACGACCTAAATGCTTCACAGATGTCGTGCACCAATTTAGTGATCAATGAAAAGCGTTTGCTGGTTCTTTAACGGAGAAGTCAGACCAACACTTTTGCTTTACATGTCATTCGTAGGGTTGCTTGATCTTCATGTGTTCTCCCCATTAACTGTAAGTGCTTGATTGCAGGGATGAGTCGGTTCATCGGTGGAAGCATTGTAAAATAGCCTATTCTTTTTAAGCGCGCGATCAGTTTGCTGGATTTCGGACTCATCGAAAGTTCGGCTGCATCTTTTTAAACGTCGCTGGTTCTTTTTTCTTGTGCTGCAACGCGTCTCTTCTGGTGTATATATATATATATATATATATATACTGCAGAAGAGACGCGTTGAGGTACGTTTGCCTGCGTGATGAGTAATCTTGTATTTCAGAAGTAGATGTTGCTTGAGCTCCCCTGGGTGGATGCGCCTGATGTGAATGTTGACAAGGTGCCTACCTGTCTATTACCTACTACCTCGTCCATACTGGCTCCAGGAGACAGTTGGTCGTCGCTGGAGGGGACGGAGTGCACCGTCCTCGTGACGGTGCTAGGCTCAAAGAGTGGTTCCATGCAACCTGTGTGGAACGGGCTACGGTCCAGCCACCGCCTCGTGTACGTCTGGTGTGTATGATTTCCCAATTAGGCCGGAATGCTTCCGTTCTGCTTGTTGAAGGAGTGTGGGCCGTCTCCGTTGATGAAACGTGGCTCCCATCCGCATGCCTCCTGGTCTTATTCCTTCGGGTTTACACCGGATATGGGGTGTGTGGGTGGAACT